ATAAATAAAATCTTTAAAAAAATAAAAATAAATAAATAAATAAATAAAATTTTATCATTTCAAGACAGAGAGATATTTGACCATTCTCAGGCACTTTTGTTCATTCCCTCTGGGATTTCTCTTCTCATTCCCTTTAAATGCAGTTCTCCCAAACCCCTTGGCCACCCTGATAACTCATGCCCTGCATTATGTTCTTAGGTTATTAGGAAGAAATTCTCAACAGATGGATCTGAAATCGTGCTGCTGACCGATGGGGAGGACAACACTATAAGCTCGTGCTTCAACGAGGTGAAACAAAGTGGAGCTGTCATCCACACGGTTGCCCTGGGACCCTCTGCAGCAAAAGAACTAGAGGAGCTGTCTAAAATGACAGGTGAAAGGTGGTCTGCTGCTGTTGTGTCCCACTGAATTATCTCTTCCACTGGACTGTGAGCTCCAGTGAACTGGGGAGAAGGGGAAGGGTGGGACATATAGAGAGAGGGGTAATCTTATTAACCAACTACCTGCCTTTACCTCTAAATGACCATTAGAATTGACTCTACCCATTTCTTTTAAGGCCTCCATTCTAGGATTATGGCAGTCTGAAGGAAGATGGGATCAGCACAGCACTCTAGTTAGGACTCAGGTCTCTCTTCCCAGACACTTTGTAAGGACTGCAAAGAATCTAACAGGTTAGCCAGGAACCGCTCTCTTCCAGTTGGCAGCTGGCTTAGAGACCCAGGGAGACAGGTGACAAGCCACTAACTATATAACACCACGATACAAGTGCTCTATTAACAGTAGAAAGCACAGCAGAATAGAAAGTCTTTGACTTTATTAAGGGGGGGAGAAGGTCCAGAAAGGTGACATCTAAGTCGACACTTTAATAAGGAGTAGCAGGGGAAGAGCAAAGGGCCTGCTGAACCACACGCAAGGTCACTCTGAAAATGTAGAAAACAATGCAGTTTCTCCATAAAACAATATATTAAGCTTCTAACTATCATACACAAATCGTTAAAATAGATTCCATATGTGCCTGGCTTCTTTAGCAGAGTAGGTGGGCACAATTTTTTTTTAACTTAGGGCCAGTATTATGGATATAAATTATTATGCTGAGTTGCCTCCTGAGGCAGCTAAAATGACAGGACTGCTTGTTTCTAATACTACCTGCTTTAGGCTGGGTTTCCTAGAAGTAGAGCCTGAGACAGGGATTTGGGCGCATGTGATTTATAGAGGGAGAGCTCTCAGGAGAACAGGAGAAAGGGAAGTAGGACGAGACAGGGGAAGGACCCAAGCACAGAAGAGGACTTAGAGTCTAGCTGAAGCCTACCCCTACAGGGGCCTCTCAATCTGGAATTGCATTACACACCTGGTACAATCTTGAGGCAAAAGGGCTGACCTTTTGTACCACTGTGTCCTTCAGTCAGTGGCTGTGGACAGTCAAGGCAAGGTGGAGGTGAGGGAGCATGTTATTTCTCCAGCAAGCAATAGCCTCTTTTGGTAAGGCAATTCTCCAGGAAAAGGGGCAGTTATATGCCATTAGCAGCTAACACTTAGAGCAGCTGGGGAGAGATTCTCTTGCTTAGGTAAGGGTATCTGGGTGGGGCCCCAAGAGAATTACCAAAGTACTTACCTTAAACTTTGGATGGCATTAATAGTTTAAAAGTGTTTTCACATCACCTATCTTAGTTACACATGTTCTAAATAGCCCGAGACTGAGAGACCTGGTGTATAATCTATTTTTTACTACATATTATCTTTTCTATAACTGGCCCTTGTCAGCTGTTATTTCTTGCTGTTGTTACATACACATGTTTTATGATTTAGGAGAAAACCCAAAAGTCAAGCTTGTTAAGATTATGTCTAAAATAAGAATAAATCAATAGGCTTGGAATAAGGCTTAATGAATTCTCTTTTTGAAGTGTTTGACCTTTAAAACATGAAATTTTATGCTATTAGTTTTGACTAATCAGAGATTCATGGCTGCTTTGCAGATAATTGACATAGCTGGGCAACTGAGATGTTGTTGAAGCTATTATTTAGTAGGATTAAAAACTTAGTATCAACTTCTGAATTAATCTGGATGCCTATTTGATGTTGATTGATACTTTAAAAATGCAATAGAATATTTATGTCACATATTCGGCTATCTTAACAATAGCTAAAATGGTGCAAATACTTGATTTCTAGAAAATAACTTCTGATAATATAATTGCATTTCAGGAGGTTTACAGACATATGCTTCAGATCAGGCTCAGAACAATGGCCTCATTGACGCTTTTGGGGCCCTTTCATCTGGGAATGGAGCTGTCTCCCAGCGTGCTATCCAGGTCAGAATTTTTACTCTTTGGTTTTTCATGTTTATAAATAATCATAACCAAGAGGGAGAGTTTAATGGTTAAAATTTTTAAGTACTACATTCTTCCAGTAGTAAGTTAAAACTAAAAATAGAAGTTTCAGTCTGATATTGGACAGTATTCCTAAAATGCAACACTACTGTTTTAAGCAAAGCAATTAGTGTTTACTTGTTTGGAAACAATACTGTCTTCTCCACAGAAACCAGCAATATACAATATTGGGTCCCAAAATTCTTTTTTAACATCTGTTAACAAGCACCCATAGCAATATAATTGGCTCAAAATTTTCTTCACAGTAGATCATCTTAACACAAATTTTCTGGGACAAGTAAGCGTTCAGGGATTACTTGCTCTATTTTTCTATTACCTCAAATGTCTGATATTTGTCAAGATTTCCTTATAATGGATGAAAAGTGTTTTGCTCTGTGAAAAGCCCATGATGTCAGTCAAGACACCTAGGCCTAAAAAAAAAAGACACCTGGGCCTGCCATTAACTCTAACTGTGGGTTAAGAACTTCACCTTTCTGGGCCTTGGTTTCTCAGCCAGATATGAACCAGAAAACATCCATGGATTCTTCTGGTTCTAAAATTTCAAGAAAACCAAATTTTTTTTCAAAAATCTTGGGACTATTCATTAAGAAAAGGACAAATGTATTTTAAATGTTCTTCTTGAAGCTTCAAAAGCTACTCATATGAATTTTTAAGCTAGAGAGTAAACAATCAGAACTCACATCTGTGTGAATTTTGATTTTTATTGTGATAACTTTATTGTGAAAGTTTGGCTGAAAATAAAAGAACAATGTCATGTCAAAGAAAATAATGACAGATTTGGAAACAATAGTTTTCTGATCTACCTGTTTAGCATTTATTCAATCAAAGAAGACAGCAGTTTTACTCATTTGGGTTACCCTAGCTCAGATTTAGAAAATTAAACTCAAGAGTCCAGTCTGGAAATTGGAGGAATGTGTCTGAAAAAAAGTGATTAAACTGATGAAAGGATAAGTCCACAGTCAGGCAGTTTCTGCCCATTACTTTTGTATTTAAGAAGCCTAACAGTGAGAGACAGAAATGAGCAGAACTCATTGACCCACCCACCTTAGGAATCAGATATAAGAGCCCTTCACTTGTTCCACATCCAAGATCAAATCTACCTATGAAATTAGAAAATTTGATTCTATGACCCAGCCACCCTATCTTCTCTTAGATATCAGTTTAAGGACAAGAAATAATTACCTAGGAGACAATCCCCACGGTCACATTCTCTGTAAAATTCCTGTTAACCCTTCCCCACCTCAGTCGCTGCTCTAACCACTCCTTCATTCTGCTCCAAACAACAAATCAGCCTTAGTCCTTGACTTACTTCATTTATTTTCACGGGGACTACAATAACACTTGACCTAGCATTGGTTATTTGCAAAAAGTCCCAGTCAGACCCCTTAAGAGTTTATAGTCTAGTAAACAGGATGAGGTATAAACACTACTAGGTATAAAGCAAAACACACTGTGAGAATATCAAAGGAGTGACAGAATCACGATTCTGTGGGAACTCACAGGAGGGAGAGATTATTCTCAGTCAGTAAGTGAGATGGACATTAGAGCAAGTGCCATTTGAACTGAATATTGAAGGACTGGTAAGGCTTAGACAAATGGAGATGACTGTATAGACTTTCAGGAAAAGCAGAGAGTATGATAGAGCCAGGGATTCATGACTGTCATTTGGGGAAGTGGTCTGGTTTGGGTGTCGGAATAAACATTGTGGAAGCTAAGGCTGGAAGAAAGGTAATTTAGAACTGGATAATGATAAGACCTAAATACCAAACCAAGGACTCAGGCATCACTGAAGGCTTTTAACGGGGCAACTAAGAATTGGAGGCAGAATGGAAGAGACTGTGTGATGGGGGCTGTATTCTCCAGAATGTAAAGAGTTGTTTTTCTTCACAGCTTGAGAGTAGAGGCTTAACCCTCCAGAACAATCAGTGGATGAATGGCACAGTGCTTGTGGACAGCACTGTGGGAAATGACACTTTATTTCTCATCACTTGGACAACACAGCATCCCCAAATCCTTCTCCACGATCCTAGTGGAAAGAAACAAGATGGCTTTGTAGTGGACACAAACACCAAAATGGCCTACCTCCAAATCCCAGGCACTGCAAAGGTATGGGCTCAGATTTTATCTTTCCCACAATTTGACAAGATAAATTAAAGTTTTTACAAAATAATCATAGCTTTTTAAATGTGGGTGGTTGCTAAAAGGAGAGTTAGTATTGAATGAAAGAAAGAACAAGGAAAATTCTCCATCCAATTCTCTATCTCATTAGTATGACAGCAAATCAAGGGAAAGGAAATTGGTGATATTTTCTCCAGGTACTAAAGGGAGAACTTTCAAATTACATAGAAGTCAAGATGCAAAATGGTCCTTGAAACTTCGGGATCATGAAAAGTATTTCCTCTACCTCAGGAACCCATTGATTTGATACTGCTTTTTAGAAACCAAGGAAATAATAAGGACACAGCTTCCTGACCTCATTTTCCCCAATTAGGATTTTCTTTTTTTTTTTTTTAAAGATTTTTTTTATTTGACAGAGAGCACAAGCAGAGGGAGAGAGAGGGAGAAGCAGGCTCCCTGCTGAGCAAGGAGCCCGATGTGGGACTTGATCCTAGGACCCTGGGATCATGACCCGGGCCGAAGGCAGCCGCTTAACCGACTGAGCCACCCAGGCGTCCCCCCAGTTAGGATTTTCTTGACAGTAAGAACCATGTAGTTAATCCAAATGTACCAAAATTTCCCTTGGCTGACAGAATATAAGAGATCTTCTTAGATATGCTTGTAACATACTTGTATCAGATAAGCCCTTCCTATAGATGGTATTAAAGTCAGGTCTGTCTCACCTACAGTTATTAATTGGAAATGACTCCATTTGTTTTGGTCAGGTTGGCACTTGGAGTTACAGTCTGCAAGCAAGCTCACAAACCCTGACTCTGACTGTCACCTCCCGTGCTTCAAGTGCTACTTTGCCTCCAATTACAGTGACCTCTAAAATGAACAAAGACACAGGCAAATTCCCTAGCCCTATGGCAGTTTATGCAAAGATTCATCAAGGATCCTCACCAATCCTCAGGGCCACTGTCACAGCTGTAATAGAATCAGTGAATGGTAAAACAGTTACCCTGGAATTATTGGACAATGGAGCAGGTAACCATTCAAAAAATTGGAAAACACATCTTTCTTTTCCAAAAAGCAACCAAGGAACAGAAGGAGGGCATGATCTGGTGAGGACGTTAGAAGCAGGGAGTCCACTACTGGGGGTCTGGTTGGGAGAGCTCCCTGCTTCCCCACAATTCCTATATTTTAAAAATGTTGGAAAACATGAATAAGGGCCTACCTTTAGCTTCTGCAAAGACCAAACACATTAGTGGCTCAAGTTCAGTACACTCAGATACTCCAGGGAGTTGTCAGAGGGTATTCCACTCTCCCCAAAAAGGGAAGGAGGAAAATTAATAACGATCTTATGTTATCTTTATTTTTATCTTTACCACACACTTTTGAGATATTATTATCCCCACATTACAGATGAAGAAACTGAGGCTTTCACATTTAGAAAGCAGCAGAGATAAATTCAAATGCAGTTATATATGCCTGCTATATGTATGTAGACTCTGTATTATCTTGCCCCCAAAATGAAAATCCTGCCCATTATTTTTTAAATAAATCTAACAGGGAGCGAGAGAAAGAGAATTCTACATTTCTTTTTAGAAGGAACATGACTGTTTACTCTGATGCAAGTAACTTTATTAGAACGAATTCTGTAAATGAATTTCCTACCCAAATCTACCCTGGTGAGAAGTCATAAGTTTAAAAAAAATAATCATATAACATTTTTTCTCCATAGTAATGTACAACAATTCAACTCAGTTAAACAGATACTTAATGAATAGTTACCTTGCGCTATGTTGGATGTAGCAGACATGTGGCATGACCTCTGATTTCAAAAAGAAAGACAACAATTCAGGAAGATAAAATATACACATATGAAGCTAAACACACACAGAGACATATACACATGTGTGCGTGTGCACATAAGAGAAAAAGTAGATTTCATCTTTAACACAAATCCTAAACTATCTTAGAGATAGCGCAAGATTATCTTTGCTTCGAAAATTTTTAACCCAAATATGAGTTAGAAATATACAAACGCCCATCTGCCTTTCAGATATTCATTAATTCCTTCATTTTCCTGTCAAGGTGCTGATGCTACTAAGGACGATGGTATCTATTCAAGGTATTTTACGGCTTATGATACAAATGGTAGATACAGTGTGAAAGTGTGGGCTCTGGGAGGAATAAATGCAGCCGGACAGAGGGTGACACCCCAGCAGAATGGAGCCATGTACATGCCTGGCTGGATTGAGAATGGTAAGTAATCTGTAATAACACACCTGGCTTGAGTAAAAGGTTTGGGATCAAGAGAAAACTAATAAGCCTGTGGGGAGAATGGTGTGATTTAATATCAGGGTTTCTCTGCCTGAACACTACTGACATTGTGGGCCACATAATTCTTTGTTGTGGGGGCTGTCCTGTGCATTGTAGGATGTTTACTAGCATTCCTGGCCTCTACTCACTAGTTATCAGAAGCATCCCCCACAGTCATGACAATGAAAAATGTCTCCCGACATCATCCACTGTCCTCTAGGAGGCAAAATAACCCTCAGTTGAAAACCAGTAGATTGAAAGTAGCTTTCTACTGCCTGGGTTCACATTCCAGCCCTCTACCAAAGTATTTTAGGTAATCTCTTTGTGCTTCACTTTCCTCAGTTGTAAAATAGGAATAATAATGGTAACTACCTAATAAGATAGTTATGAGGAATGAACAAGGAAATACATCTAATAAGCTGTTGCTGGTAAATAGTAATGTTCAATAAATGTTTGCTATTATTTTTAATAAATTTTAAAATATTTTGTAATAAAGCTCTTTCCACTGATAGTGGCATTTCCATAGAATAAGGGAATTCAGGGCTTATTATATACATCAGTATCACAAGCCCCACTGTCTCCTTTCTCTTGCTCAGACCAGGGAGAATAGTAGATGAACCTAATACCAGCCAGTACACTGAGCCCACATGTAAGCATGTGGGAAAATTGTGCTCCAAGAAATAGGCAGTCCTATACCACTCTTGGTCATAAACACTCGCCCTGGATTAGAGTTGGAATTGGGACCAGGACTAGTCCTGATGGGTTCCAGGACTTGTTTTCCATCAATCTCTACTGTCTTGGGTAGGTCTTTTCCTAGCACCTGGTGTATTGTAAGAACAGCTCCTCCAAGAAGCTTCCCACTGTCCTATTTACTTGGGTGTGTGCCCAGTAAAAGGAGGATTCTAGGACATGTGGTGTTTTCATGCAAAGGTGATCACAGGAAAAAAATGCTTTAAAGACATTGCTTCCAAAGCTCTTTCACGTATTTCAGCTTAGTTTATTTTCATTTGTTCTTTCTGAGTTAGGGGAAAAGGCAGGAGTTTAGCCTTCTTGGTTTAGCGGCCATATCTAGCCTCATGCACAGTGTTTTACTCACATTAGGACATTACATTCTTCTAATTATCCCATTTTACAGACAGAGAAACAGAGGCTAGAGAGGTTTTTGGTCTAACTGTGATAGGACTAACCATGATAGGACCTGGCTTGGCATTAGAGAACCATGTTTTTCCCCCTCTATCCCTTGATGAGCCTGAATACCAAGAGAGATGGTCTCTATTGCTGAATTGAATACTAACTCTGAACCTGCTACAGTATCCACTTTATCTTTGCCCAAGACCAGATTGATGGGTATGAAGATCAATCTGTCTTTACAGACAAAAATTTTAAAGGCTAAAGAAGTAGAGTTTATGAGAGAGTAAATTATGTGTAATGCCATATTAGGGTATTATGGAATATTTTTATTGAAATGAGAGTCTGAGAACCCTACTGATTGAGCAGGCCAAGGTATTTTTTGAATTCCAGGATTACTTTTATACAACCTTTCAGCAAGAATGTGAAGAAAATTGAGATTGCTACAAGCACTAAGTTCCTATGCATTCAATGAGAAAATCAGAAGTCTTCCAAAAGCATAAAATTTTAGAACCCCTAACACAAAACAGTTTATGAGAAGCTGCAATCTAATAAAGATAAAACACAAACATAGAGAAAGAGGGGGAAAAAAATGCATGGAAGGAATAATTAAGGTAATTCTTGATGGTCCAGATGATTAATTACCAAATAAATAGGAAAAATAATAAAACCAACAGTATTATCTAGGTGAAAGAGATTTCTTGAGGCAGTCTAAGAAGGCTTAAAACAGAGGCAGGATTTAAGCTGAAAAATCAGGATAGGCAAAAAGATGGGAAGAGAAACAATTCTAGGACAAATGTCACGAAAATAAATTATGAGAATTGTTATTCCAGAAAACATCCAGAAAATATCTGTAAGATAAAAAACTGTGATTCTCTCTTTGTTTTTTTTTTCCTCTGATGCAACCTGATTTGGGATCTTTACACCAAATAGTTAAAATTAATTTTTTGTGTGGGAGGAAAGAAGGCAAAGGCGAGAGCAGGAAGAGGGCAATCTGATAACAAAACAGAAGGAAGTATACTCATATAGTTGCTTACAATGTAATGAAATGTAATGTAATGTAATGTAATGCAATGCAAGGTAATATAATGTAATGTAATGTAATATAATGTGATGTGATGATGTGATGTGATGTGATGTGATGTGATGTGATGTGATGTGATGCAGGTGAAATAAAATGGAATCCACCAAGACCTGAAATTAGTAAGAATGATCTTCAAGGCAACCAAGTGTGTTTCAGCAGAACATCCTCGGGAGGTTCATTTGTGGCCTCTGGTGTCCCACAGGCTCCCATACCTGATCTCTTCCCACCTTGTCAAATCACTGACCTTAAGGCAAAAATCCATGGGGACAAATTTATTAATCTGACTTGGACAGCTCCTGGGGATGATTATGATCACGGAAGAGGTAAGCTGAATGTGGTGTGGACCCTGTAAAGGAGTTTACCAGCCAAAAGAGGTGCAGAAGGAGGTGCGGCAGGCAGGCATGTTGTGATGCATGGGGAAGGCAGAAGGCAAGAGGGATCTTGAATGTCCTCTGAAATAAAAGGTTAGGATTTTTAAATAGGAGAGGTTTAGAACCTGAAAAACTGGCCCACTTTAAGTTTTAAGGGGTTTCAACCAGTAACAGGCAATCTAGGTTTTTTTGAAATCTTGCCAAGCTGTCCTTTAATAAACCCCATTTTTAGCAATGACTCCTGGAAAGGATTGGGAATACAGCATAGATATCTATGGAGCAGAGCTGACTTTTGGAAGAAACCTCAGGTCCTACTAGATTTTTGTCTCAAAGTATAGTCTTCAGATTGCAGCATGGGCATCACATGAATGCTTGTTAGAAATGTAGAACCCCAGTCCCCAACCAGATCTACCAAACCAAGAATCTGTATTTTAAGATCCCTGGGTATTCTGTATGCACATGAAAGTTTGAGAAGCACTGGTACCCAAAACTCCTCTATAAATAATAAAGCAATAAGCAGTAATTTAAAGGCTTCCTCTCTCAGCCAGATGCATGCACAGAAATACTGACCAAGGCTTTAGGTCATGCCTGCACAGTTTTTTATTTATTTATTTATTTTATTTTTTTGAGAGAGAGAGAGCATATGCATGCACATGAAGGGGAAGGGTGGGGGCGGGTTAAGGGGTGGGGAGAGAGGGAGAGGGAGAGAGAATCTTAAGCCGGCTCTATGCCCAGAGTGGAGCCCGACACAGGGCTCAATCTCACCACCCTGAGATCATGACCTGAGCTGAAATCGAGTCGGATGCTTAACCAACTGAGCCACCCAGGCACCCCCTGATCCAGTTTTATATTCATCACTCTGTTTAGATACACAAATAAGAATGTAAAAAGAATACTAATAAATATGGACCATCAATTACATTTATTCACTGGAAATTTATGGAATGGTGATATAGTTTCTAACAGACTTTAAAACTTCTTTAACACTTGAGAATTACAATCACAACTTTTTTTTTTCCTTTTTAGCTCACAAGTATATCATTAGAATAAGTACAAGTATTCTTGATCTCAGAGACAAGTTCAATGAATCACTTCAAGTGAACACATCTGATCTCTTCCCGAAGGAGGCCAACTCTAAGGAAGTCTTTGTGTTTACACCAGAAAACATCCCTTTTGAAAATGGCACGGATCTCTTCATTGCAGTTCAGGCTGTTGATAAGTCCAACCTAAAGTCAGAAATCTCTAATATTGTAGGAGTGTCTCTATTTATTCCCCCAGAGGCTCCTCCAGAGATACCTACTCCTTCTCCTCCTTGTCCTGATATTAATGTCAACAGCACCATTCCTGGCCTTCACATTTTAAAAATTATGTGGAAGTGGCTAGGGGAATTGCAGCTGTCAGTAGCCTTGGGCTGAGTTTTCATGAGATGAATAAATCATCTATCCTTCTTTTGATTATAAAATTCTCCAAAATATATTTTAAACTTTCCTGTAGAGGGCGATATAATGAAATAAAATGCTAAACAACTGGCTACATATGTATAAAGACTATCATTGAAATACAAGAGTTTAATCATCGCACAGGCATTTATTAATGATTTTTAAAGAAGAGGTGCTTGCATTGATAAATGAAAGTATGTTTTAATTCCTTTTAAGGAGCTTTGCCAATTAAAAAGAACATGTAATTGCATGTGAAAGGTGCCAGATGCCCAACTAGGTCAAACTATTTAAATATAAAAGGCATGGCTTGTTATTTGTATCAACGTTACCAGGAGTATGGATTCTCTTCTCTAAATTTGCAAGGATTATGCATTTCAGGAAGAGATTGCATTGCAGAAAGAAACAGTAGCATGAAGTCTCCTTAGGCATAGAAATGTATGTTATGTGCATAAAATTACAAGTCAGTGATGCTTAAAGCCACAGTGGTGGGAGATGAGGTGGGAAAGGTAGGTTCAAGCCAGATGTGAAGGGGAAGTGATTGAGAAATAAACGTTTTTTGTGTACTTTGTGCTAAATGCTCTACTAATGCCTTATATGCATTATCTTATGTAATACAATTCAGTTCATTCAACAAATGTTCATCAGCTGCCTATTATATTCCAGGCCCATGGTAGGGCCTGAGTACGAAAAGGTAAGAGTTGGCCTTTCTCCTGTAGGCAATAAAGAATATCTGAGGATTTTTTTTTTTAATCAAGAGATAGATCTTATCAGAGCTATGCTTCAGAAGAGATGCTTCGAGGACCACGTGAAGAACTGAATAAAGGTGGGAGAGGTGTGACAGATTAAAGGAGAAGGAGAAGAAAAGGAAAAAAGGAGCCAAATAAACTTAGCAGTATGGCAGTCCCCAAAGGGACTAATCACAAATTGCAGGGCCTCCCAGGAGAAGTATTCCTGTAAAAGATGTTTCAAGTTCTCAGTTCATTAGCATAATAAGTTCAAGATGTGAGTGGCTCTCTGACTGAAAATAAACTATTTTCAATAAGAGATTTTTCTACATAGGCCCCAAATTTATTTCTACATAGATCTTCCTTATTTCAAAACAGGATTTCAGGTCCCTTAGAGATACATTTAATAAACACAATAAAAAAAATTAAGAAAATTTAAAAATGAAGTGAAATAAGTATGTACTAAAAATAAAAGGAAGGTTCAATACATCCAATGCCTTATAATATAATGTTCTGTACAGTTGCTACAGCCCAGTCACACATCTCATTTTGAGCTTCCAAGCAGGCAGAAGAAAGACATACAGAGTAACAAAATTAACAGAGTCTACAGTGAATAACACACCAGAGGCTCAGGAGGAGCCATGTGAAGTTTTATCCATGGATCCTTAATAAATTAGGGTACTGTGATATTAAGGGCTGCAGCCTCAGTGGCATCCACATAATAATCACAACAGCAAGTTTAACATAGTGCTGATCACCACATCCTTCACTATAATCACACTTCACTGTGATGTTACCATGGAGTGATACCCCAGCATTGTTTAGGAAAGACAATTATACAGGGGAAAGTCAAGCTCTTGAGTTTGCTCTAAAGATAAATTTTGGAGTAATGGATTGCCTGTCCTTCAGCACATTTTCTATGCCAAACTTCCATTATAGCAAGTTTGTTATAATAATTGAACGGGCAGAGAGTTCTGAGGCTAGGAAAACACTGATGTTCTAAAATTCAGTATTTCTTATGAAGGACATATCCAGGTACTCTGCCAACCAAATGGACAGAAGGTCAAATCGAAGTCTTCTGAAAGTTACAAAACCAAAATGAGGCACATGCATGACCAGAGGGCCACTCACGGAGCCATGTGGAAAAATGGACCTGAGGTCTCCAATTCAGCCCCATAGAACATGTCTGCTATGGGTTTCACTTGGAAAATGTCTAAATCACTCACTGAGATTTTAATTTCCCATTTGGGCAAACTCAGTGGAATGTACCATGGGATAAAGGCAGGAACTGCATAGGGATGTATAGTGTTAGTTCAGAGAAAAGATAAATGTCAGCATGTAAATAAGAAAGTAGAGAATGGCAAAGAAAAACATTTTTATATACTCTGGGATGTAGAGAAGCTTGTTGCAAAATGAATCTGGAGTCATACGTGGTAAAAAAAAAAAAAAAACAACTTTTGCCTTATGCCATTACTACCCCACAACAACCTTAGTTTTTTTAGTTTCTCCTAAGCCACTTAAGTGAGTGGGTAAATCTTGTGAATATATCTAAGACATTAGTAACTCAAGACTTTCAAATAAAGGCCTATGTCCTATGTGTTGTTTTTTTTTTTATAAAGCCTTTATCCTATATCACTGATCTATGTCATCCTCCATCTGTTCTCTTCACTGTCATCTACCAATCTCACCTAAGACGGGCACCTGGGTAACAATGTTTGCCCCTTGCCTCCTAAAATCACTCTGCCTAGTATCAGAATCTATATGAATGAGTCCATCAATATCTTAGCCTCAAAATTCTTTAATCTTCACCCCATCTCCACTAAACTTTAGCAAACTATTGGACTGAATCATGAAAGTGCCTTTATATA